TGTGTACTGTCCAAGCTGACAGTCGCACCACCAGCCACCCGGTGGAGGGCCAATCTGAGAGGGGCCTACTCTTCCGAGGTGACGGTTTGACTGCCCGCGCCGCCGGTCCAATACATGGCCGGCCCGTCCTGCACCGGAACGCTCCAGTCAAAACGGCAGATAAGACTCTGCTCTGCCACTGCGGTACGCTAGTCGGTCGATAGGTCCCTTATTTTTTCAGGCATGCCGCTGAACTCACATGGCTAGTAAGATCGAAAGGGTTTACTACCCAATAAAATTAACAAAACAAACATCACTCGGCACTGTCAGGGGTCAGCGGCCTTTGATGTAGACAAACGTGGAGAGGACCTCGCCAGCAGGACCGCATCGGATGTGACATGTCCAATTCCATTGTCTATGGTAGAGAGATACAGGAAAACACCGTTGAGATGACGTAACTAACAGGCAATATAGACGGTGATACAGACTCGTGGTATACGGCGATTGAAATATCGCTTTAAAAAAGCTATCAAATACCGGGTGTTCCGAAAAAAGTGTCACGATTTTAGTCACGTGCGATTTCCGTAAAAATTGTCCGAAATAGTTTGGCTTAAGATATGTTGCTCACAACCCTTGTCGATTTTGGTGGACAAAACGGTTCACCAAAATCTACGATGGTTTTCTCGCCAGAACAAAAAATCAAAATCGTCCGATTATGGTTCGAGACGAAATCGTACGTCACCGTCCGCCGCCGACTTCGACGCGAGTGTGACATGGAAACTCGAGATCTGCCCTGCAACAAACTCATTGCAAGGTTTGTTAACCATTTTGAGACAACAGGTTCAGTCCTGAATACTCACAGGGGCAGCAGCGGCAGGCCAGCATCGGTTTCAAAGTCCCCAGAGACCATCGCGGCCGTGCGAAATTCCGTCATTGCCAGTCCCAAGAAGTCGCTCCGTCGACGCTCTCAACAGCTCGGACTTGCTAAAACCAGCGTAAGACGCATCCTATGCGACGAGCTAAAACTGTCATCGTACATAATATCCACCAGACATAAGATGACGGATCGGGACAGGCAAAAGCGGCAAGTCATGTGTCAATGGATCTCCAACAAGATGGAGAGGAACGCGCGGTGGGTGAACCGAGTCTGGTTCTCAGACGAGGCTCACTTCCACCTGAACGGTGCGGTGAACAACCACAACAACACTTTCTGGGGTAACTCACCACCGGAAGAAGTAACGGAGAAGCAGCTGAAGGGCCCGAAGGTCACTGCCTTCGTGGCCTACAACGCCACTCACGGCCTCCTCGGTCCCTACTGGTTCGAAGAAGATGGCCGGACCGTCACCATCAATGGCGAGCGCTACCGCGAGGTCATCCGGGAATTCTACGCGGATCTGACCGATATGCTCACCGATAACCAACTGCAACAGGCATGGTTCATGCAAGACGGAGCTCCGCCTCACACTGCGCGTGAGAGTATCGAATGCCTTAAGGAGCTGTTCAACGCTCGCCTCATGTCTCTCGGCACCGCCCATGAGTGGGCTCCCCACAGCCCTGATCTCAACCCGCTAGACTTTTGGCTGTGGGGGGCTGCCAAGGACACTGTGTACGCAGGCAAGCCCAAGACACTGGTCCAGCTTAAGCAGAACGTCGAAAGATACCTGCATCAAGTCGGTCCCGAGACTCTGACGAAAGTCGCTGAGAGTTTCCAGGCCAGAATCAAGGCGTGTCTCAACCGCGGTGGTGCCCATATCGAGAACGTGAACTACAAGAAGTTCGCGTAAACTTGTGATCGCAGGAACTCCTCTGCCCTCTGGCAAGGAGTTATAGCACTGATACGAGAGTAACCTTGTTGAAAAACGACAAACGTGAGCTTTCATATGGTGTATGTTTTAATGCGTTAATACTTGTCAAGCGTTTATAATACACGTTTGAAACTGTGACACTTTTTTCGGAACACCCTGTACGATTATACGCTTTCTGTGTCGCTGTAGCTCTTATTCGTGTTTTACGGGTCGCTAAAGTAAAACGTTTATCAACGTAACGCTAAGGTATGCTTTCGGCCCCTGATCGAGGTAGAGCTTCGCGGAAAAGCAAGGATGCTGCCCGTGATGAGAGAACGCCGATGATGCCCAATTTCAAGGTCTTGGCCGGGTCATCTTAGGTCAACGCCCAAAAGTAGGGAAAATCTGGCCTGCTAGAACTTTGTGAGCCGTAGCTGTTATCGGGGTCCCGAGTACGAGTTCGATGTTAGTTTTGAAGTTGAACAAAGATATGATGACTCCATGCATTTGGGACAGATCGGGTCGGGTCAGGTCTGGTCGTGCAGCAGGCTTCCTGCCTGTCATCTAGAGTGAGTGACAATCACCAACGATAGTTTGGTAACTAAACATGTTACATAACCACCATTTATCAAAACTACTTCTTATGTTCAAACGGGCGCTAAGCTCGAAATCAGCTCCAAAAACTACACTTGTAAGTGGAAGCAAATAAAACTCAAAAAAGTGAACCAAGGTCATCTATATTCGAGTCAGGGCCAATACACTTTTAGAGTTGGTGTAAAATTGATTGACTCGAGGTCACTGGAAATTTCGTTGCAATAGGCTCCTTTTGCGCGTCTTATTGGGAACGCCCGAGAGGAGTCCACCATCTGACCCCATTCCCCCTATGTAGGCAGGTCCGAGGGTAGTCAGGGCTGAGGCTAGTTAGGTACGGCCCTCCAGGTAACCCGCGCCCTGCTGGGGGGGGGGGTGTTTGAACACCCCCCCCCCCCTTGTGGTTTTTCGCGAATATCTCAAAAACGGCGGCGCGGAGCGCCGCCGTTTTTGGTACACCTTATCATACATCAATTCTACACATGTTGTGAAAATTTCAGACCAAGGTCATTCAAGGTCAGGTCACCAGGTCACTTGAAGTGACCTCACCTCATAAAAAGTTTCAATGTCTGTCATAGCTACACCGAGTGACCGATCGCTTTGAAACTTTCAGCGATTGCTAAGAGCAATAGCATGTACAAAATGTATATCTCAGAATTTTGATATCGATGACCTAAGGTCAGGTCAATTTTGCGACCTCCCCATTATAAGTCAATGGGAGAAAATTGAAATGCGCCTCTTTTGGACGAAAGACATTATAAACACTCCCAAACACTGAATTACAAGTGGTTTAGACACACTGAACATGGAAATGGTGTCCGTGACCCCTGTTTATGCCCTGAGGTCATCTTAGGTCACGAATGGTATCTAACAGTTTTTCGCAAATAACTGTTGATAGAGGCATGCTAGAGCGATGAAAACGCCTTAGATGTGTTCAGCTCGACGATACGGATCGACTGATATGCAACATGACCCTTTCCGGTCAGGTCATGACCTTGACCTGAGGTCAAATTTTCAAGTTGACCTTTCAAGGTCAAGTTATAGTTCATTCGATGCGTCTTGACGAGAAGAACACGATGCTGGTAAAAGTAAGCTCGTACAAGGCTTGGGTCAAAAGTTATTGCAGAAAAACTGTTTCCGAAAAAATCGGCTATTTTTGCAGTTTTTGCCCCCTGCAGGCAAAACCGTTGACGTTAGGTCAAATCTGAGAGAATTACTCAGAAAGGGCGTTAATAGGGCTATCGAATGCGCTTTTCCGCGGCGCTGTAGCTCTATTGGTTCCCGAGTTATGCGCTGGCTTCTTGGAAATTGTCGACATTCGACCTGGAAATCGGCGAAATTTTGCCTTCAATGACCTCTGGTGACCTGACCTTTGACCTGATCAAAAAATTGACCGAAGTGATTTCCTCATTATTTTTGACGCTCTTTCGAACGCCGCCTTCCGCGTATCGCTACGTGGCCCAGGAGCCGAGTTAGAAGGGGGGGTGTTCAAACACCCCCCCCCCCCCCAGCAGGGCGTGGAAATCCAGGACCCCCAGCCGGGCGCGGGTTAAGTGGTTGGTTGCCAACATCACAATAAGCGATCTGCATAATGCATTGATGAATACGTCTAATGGCTGTTGAAAACCATTGCCGAAGTGTGTGCAGGAACCCTCTTCTCATTTCTATTGCGTCATATTGCAGTTGTGTCTCTGTCATTCAAAGTTATTACACCAAAAGCACATAGGCTAACCAACCACTCTTTTGCTGGAGGGCCGTATCTCGTAGCTGATACGTCATCCGACGAATCGACTGCAACCATTATTTTGACAATCAGACGAACGCCTGGGTCAGTTTTGGCGCACTCACTCCTTTGAGTGATAAGGGGCTACTTTAGAACATCGTCATGCTGATGTTCCACGCCCACAGCTTATTGACCTACAAGCAATAGGGACTAGGGAGCTCTTGAAGCGATTCTGAATCTGACGCTGTATTTGTTGAGGTTGCTGACGCCAACTTCACTGACATGATAGCTCAAAAAAGCATACTCAGCATCGCCAAAAGTGGGGGGTCGACCCCCCCGGTTCTCACAAATGGGGGGTCGCGACCCCCGCGACCCCCCTGCTTCCCTTATTCCCTGCGCGGCCGGTAACCGAGCAAAAACACGGTTACAGTCACGATTTTACGGAGTTCGGAGAGTCCTAGTCCGTTGCGGAGTGGGGATGGGGTCCGGTTCGGCTCCGGGATCATATCAATATGGAACCGTCAATTCATCCTCTTTAGTCATTGAGATCACTGAGATGTCGGGGACATTTGACGCCCCAGAGCGCCTAACCTGACCTAACCTTATCTACAACCTACAAACCTTGACCTACAACCTATACCTAAAAACCTACAAACCTACCCTGCAACCCAAGGCCCTAAATTGAAATACATGCAACCTACAAACCTACAGCGCCTCTCCTCGGTTGGAAAACCTTTGTGTGACGTCTGCTCTACTAATGCCAAAACTAATATGTTGGGTCAGGTCAGGTCATATTGGGTCAGAAGTTAGGTGACCCAACATAGTAGTTTTTGTCTTTGCACGGCAGCAAGCCTTGGCAGCATGGAACCAATATACCCTGCATGGAACTCACTACTTAGCCGCCCTCGGCTCTTGGCTCTTACCTCCTGAAGTCCGGACGACTGCCTCATTCTATTGAGATTTCATTATTCATTACCTATTGTCTATCTGGCTACGACACGGTAAATAAAACTCAATTTGCTCAAAATTGTAACAGTTTTCACTTTTCACCGTTTATTGACTTCAAGTACACTCCGCACTTGCTCTGCACTGGCACTGCAGCGTGTAAAAAAAGCGCATATTGATATAAATAAAAAGTTTTTTTAAATCCGCTGATTATCAAGAACTTTAGAAGGATATGTTACAATATCTGGCGCAGATACGTTTGATGGCGCATTTGGCTGTGGTTGATTTTCATTTATTTGCTTGAGCTTGAAGAGTGTGGTCGTGATCCACGGACTGTTCTTTTTGTTTTATTGATCTATTTCTACCAAATATTTCTCATCAATAAGTCTCCTACATAGTGTAAAATCATGTCGAGGAAAGTTAGCCCTGCTAAGGACTTCATCGCGGGTGGATTCGGCGGATCATGCCTGGTCGTCACTGGACACCCTCTCGATACCATAAAGGTGTGCTATTTTAGAATAGTTCCGATGTGTTTGGGGTTTTTTGACTTAGACATGCATTATTTATTCATTAACCTTGTCATATGAACCTAATACCTACTCTTTGTAATGTAATTGAAATATCATGATCAGTAACACTTGTTGTTTTTTGCATTGTTAATTATAATTGCATTGCAGACTCCGCATTTCAGTCGGGGAAACTATGGTAAAATCTGCTATTTTTAGCAGTCTGCTATTTTTAGCAGAAATCTGCTAAAAATGGGTACGCATGTGACGTCATCGTACCCAAATATAGCAGATTTGGGTACGGCCCCCGACAAAAGCAGATCTGCACCCTAATTGAAGCAAATGCGCATCAAATGCCTGGCAGATTCATGATTAGAATAGTGCTGAGAATGTCCTCTGATATTTTTTGTTCAGATCCGACTATTTTCAAATAATGAATTTGAAAATAGTCGGATCTGAACAAAAATAGCAGAGAACACTCTCAGCACTATTTTCATCATGAATCTGCCAGGCATTTGATGCGCATTTGCTTCAATTAGGGTGCAGATCTGCTTTTGTATGGGGCCGTACCCAAATCTGCTATATTTGGGTACGATGACGTCACATCCGTACCCATTTTTAGCAGATTTCTGCTAAAAATAGCAGACTGCTAAAAATGGCAGATTTTACCATAGTTTCCCCGACTGATTTGTTCATTTGTTACAGTTTGTCCGATGGGTAGTATTTCTGAGCATGCCTATGAAACATAGGTTGTATATTAAAAAGTTTAACATTAGCAGGGCAATAGATAATATTATGTAGAAGCTTAATGTTATTCCTCTTTCCCAGGTGCGGCTCCAGACCATGCCAAATCCAGCTCCTGGGGAGAAGCCTCTCTACACTGGCACCTTTGACTGTGCCAAGCAGACAGTTGCCAAAGAAGGCTTTAAGGGTCTCTACAAAGGTGAGGACTAAAATGTTAGCCCATTTTTTGAGAAACCAATGCAAGTAATCTTGTTTGCGTTCCTTGGCGATTGTACACATTGTTGTTGTTCTGAGGCAACTGAGGCGAGGCGTGTCTCAGTTGGAGACTGAGGTTTTTTGTGTGTGCCTGCCTATGCTAGGACGGAAGGCAAAGTGTGTCTCCTTCCCCACTCACGAGTGACTGGAGTGACCATAACTGCTGTAATTTCTACCATTGCCGCAGGAGACAAGTTGTTTGTTTTCAAGCTGCCCCATGGCACATTCGATGTGTTTCTATGAACTATATTCTTCATCAAGAATGATACCAAGCCAACAAGGCTGAATCTCCTTAAACGCTGAGCAGTGACAATTGCATGTTGTAATAGCTCCAGCATCCAAACCATTGGTGAATGGAGTGGTTACCTGCTGAAGTTGTATGCCAGGTGGCAGTGGAGTCAGAATTAGAGTTGACAGTTGTGGAATGAGTTAGAGTTGACAAAATGTACACATTTTTGCTTTAGAGTCAGAGTTGCCATCCCTTGGTCATGTTATCAACTTTCATATTATCAAGGCTATGTTTGCATAAATATTTGTATCCTGCTTCTGACCAGTCCTGTTATATGGCACATTTATTGCAATATTAGAAAAGCTCCCCAAAGGTGGATCAGGTCAGATCAGAACAGGAGTTTCTGTAGGCCCTGTTGGTCATTAGGGTCATACCACTCTGAGTATTACAGCCTCCAGGATCCTCTCAGACTGGGCTGAGGTCCTCACATACCAGCATCAGACCCTCAGGAGTCTTTGTGGTCCTTCGACTGTCTGGAGACCTTACAGAGGAGCGAGATGGCAGTTTGGCAGGGATTGAGGGCCTTGTTGAGTATTGTTATTTGTGAGTCCCCTGAAATGTGGAGTCTCTGCAAGATGTCACCCCACTCATGAGAGTCTGAGACTTTGAGACCAATATTCAGCCTTTGTTGGATGTGGTCGTCACTATTACTGAAGCTTTGGCTTCCTATCGAGAATCTGGGTGGGACAGTTCAGAGCCGCACCTCAGTGTATTGTAATGATCTTTGTAATGTGCTGGACTTTTTGCCATCAATGCCGAGTGCGACCCACCACTGAGTCTTGGCACAGACTGGCGGTGGCAGACTGTTGTCCATGGTTTTACCGCTGTCCCTTCGCCTCTCTTCAGGCATGGCGGCGCCGCTGGTGGGCGTCACACCCATGTTCGCCGTCTGCTTCCTCGGAAACAGCATCGGCAAGCGGCTGCAGCAGAAGAGCCCGGACCAGGAGCTGACCGTGCTGCAGCTCTTCAACGCCGGCATGGTGGCCGGCGTCTTCACCACCGGCATCATGGCGCCCGGAGAGCGCATCAAGTGCCTCCTCCAGGTAGGAAGGTGCCGCAGTCACTGCGCTGAGAGTGTTGGGAGGAGAGGTACCGTGTCAGAGGGCACGGCATTAATTCGGAGACGGAGTTGTGAAGCGTATGTGCAAATATGAAGTACCTTTTTATCTTTTTTCATGCAACCCAAGATAACCCAAGCGTAGGCTCAGTTTATGTCGACGTCCCCAAATGTGTGCGAATCGGCCGCTGATCGGTCGTTCGATCCTGCAGATCCAGGCGGCTGGCACCGGGCCGGCCAAGTACGCGGGTCCCCTGGACTGTGCCAAGCAACTGTTCCGCGAGGGCGGCATCCGCAGCATCTACAAGGGCACCTGCGCCACCCTTCTCAGAGGTACGGGGCTGCACAGTCGGGAGGAGGGAGGAGGTGACCAAGCTGTAGCATTCAGAGTTGGAGTAGACTAGCGGTGGTTCTTCTGCCCATCATTTCAAAGATTATTATATTTTACTCCATTCTCTGACGATAAAACAAAAAGCTCAGATTGAAATGTTTGCGTCACTTGAATCGTCACTACAGGCTTAACTATTGATAACGATGAATTTAATGAGAACTGATGATCTTTAAATGATAGCAGTCATTGAAAATTACGCCTGATGGATGCCAAGCTGTCCTGTTTTACATCAGCACCCGAAAAAACAAAGTTGCGTTCAAATGCGTCCGCAGAGCAGAGAACCAGTTACTATCCTGTTGGGAACCGGATGGTTTAGTGGCTTGCGTAAGCCACGTTGTCATTCTGTTTGTGTTTGCTTACTCATCAGCCTAATCTTTCGAGAACGACTAGACCCATCTCTCTAACATTACATGCAGTTAAAGGATGAAGATTAAAATAAAACGGTTGTGGGTCATTATTTCTTCTCGTTTCTGGCCGATTCGTTTGGAGTTATGACATTTTATTGTACTGCGTGATGGGCATCATCCAATATCATTGCCTCGCGCTTGGTTGATCCCAAGAATAGCAAATGCAAACACGTCTTCTGATCATTGGCACCGAGTTTGGCATCCTAATCGTCACAAACAACGTACACGGTGGAAACACACGCTGAAGCTGACGAAAAATTATCGTCCAAGTAAAACCTGACAAAGATATGAGACACCTGCAGAGTAAGGAATGATCGCGAAGTTTGGAGGGCCGCACGCCAACAGCTCAGTGGGAGGGGCTGCTGTGTGCGGTGGCACACACTGAAAACACTATATGGCGCTGTGATCAGTCACCGCTCGTCAAAGGCACCACGCTAACTTTTTATCGGTCTTCCTGGTGCCTATCAGGTCTGCCGCGACGTCACAGGTTATAGAACTTGCGGAATTTCGGGTTCATTCGCTCGCGCTCCAGCTTCTGTGCCTTCTTGGAGAGTTTGGCGAACATCTCCGGCGGTATGGTGGCATACTCCGGCTCCGGCTCCGGCTGCAGTACGTTCGCCGGCTGCTGCTGCTGCTGCACCGGCTCCGGGTCCGACTCCGGCTCCGACTCCGGCTCGTAGTCGTCGGCCGAGTACTCGGCCATGGCCAGCTCCTGGTCGGCGATGGCGGCCGCCGAGTAGTCGTCGTACTCGTCGTCCTCGGTCGGCTGCCGGTCGTCGAGCAGCACGACGTCGGCGTCGGGCGCGGCCAGGTAGTCGACGTCCTCGGCCTCCGGGTGGAGCTGGGCGCGCGCGCGGCCGGCGGCGGCGGCGGCGGGCCGGCGCCGACAGCGCAGCTGCTGCTGCAGCACCTCGTACAGGCCCCAGTGGCGGAACTGCTCCGGCTGGTGACAGCGCGGCTCCAGCCGGGCGTCGTAGTGCAGGTGCGCCCGGTGCTCGTGGTGGCACGATCGGCCGCCCGGCGCGCTGCTGTCCCACTCGCAGACGGTCCTGTGCTCGCTGCGCGCCTGTCGCCGTACGGAGGGCGTCAGTAGGGGGTAGCGGTGGCGGCAGGGACTTATGCTACTGCGTGCCGTTAGTTGGTAGGTGCGCTGGGCGTTGCGCCCTATTCATTGAAGTACTCAACTGTTTTGTATGCGGGGAGAGGTATATGGGCATTCCTTGCCGTGCAGCGACCCTGTGTTTATGAACATCTGTTCAAGGTGGATATATACCAAGAATGGTTCTTGTTTATATATCTAGTACATCGGCCTGGTAGAATATTGTTTGGACGCATCCCCATAAATTATCAGGGCTATCCATTCCGTTGTAGTCCAAAGTTCGCGTGTGGCAATTGTTTATCTACGATAGCTGGTCCTGTCCTTTGGAGTTTGCCAGAGGGCGCCCTGTTACTAGGCAGCGTTTGGGCTGCCGCGCCGGGCGACACTGACCGTCACACTGTCAGTGGATAAGACCCGCCGGTCCAAAGTCGGTGGAGCCGGCTGGGCGGAGAACTGACTATTGATTGCTCAATCAATCTAACGTTCTTTCAATCGATAGCTAGATATCTACTTCGATATCTACAATCGATATCTACTTCGCTGGTTCAATTGCTGTGACAGGCGAAGCGCTACAAATGATCAATAGCTTATTGAATGTTTCTAGTTGGGACGACATAGGATATTATTTTTGTGAATTGGTTGCTTCTACTGCCTGGTCTTTCCTGTGTTGTGCCTATCTGATAAGTCGAAATGAGTTGCCGCTGCTCTAATATTGGATGTGGCGCCTGGCGGTGTCGGCTCACCTTGTTGGTCATGGCGGCGCTGAGGAAGGCCAGCTGGCAGGTGCACTCCCACGGGTTGTGCTGCAGCTGCAGCAGCTTGGGCCGGATCCCGCTCAGCACCTCTGGACTCAGCCAGCTCAGGTGGTTGTGGTGCAGGTACAGCTCGCGCAGCGAGGACAGCGGACTGAACGTCTCGGCGGCCAGCTCGGTGAGCGCGTTATGCGACAGGTCGAGCACGGTGAGCCGGCCGAGGCCGAGGAACGCGTCCTGAGAGACGTCCTCCAGTCGGCAGCGCGACACGTCGAGCCGCTCCAGCCGCGGCACGCCCGAGAAGGCGTCGAACCGCAGCTCGCCCAGGTCGCCGTGCAGCTCTAGCCGGCGCAGCTGCGGCAGCTCGGCCAGCAGCTCGCCGCGCAGTCCCGGCGCCGTCAGGTTGGCCACGCTGAGCTCGCGCAGCTCGCTGAGGTGTCGGAGCGCGCGCGGCCGCACCGTGAGCGGCGTGTCGGCGGCGCCCAGTCGCAGCACCTCGGTGCCGTTCATCATGTCGAGCGCGCCCTCGAGCACGGCGCTCACCGGGTTGCCGGCCAGCGAGAGCTCGCGCAGCCGCGGGAACGGCGCGAACGTGACGTAGCTCAGCTCCGAGATCAGGTTGTCGGAGAGGTCGAGCCTCTCCAGGTCGAGCAGGCCGGCGAAGCCCTTCATGTTGACGGTGAGCAGACGGTTTCCGGCGAGCGACAGCTGCTGCAACGCCGGGCAGCCGAAGAAGGCGAAGTCGGGCAGCGTGCGCACCAGCTGGTGCTCGAGCCTCAGGTGTTTGAGCTCGGAGAGACCCTCGAACAGCTGCCACTGCAGCTCCTCCAGGCCGGAGTGCGCCAGTCGCAGGAACTCGAGCGACGTCAGGTTGGCGAAGCTGGAGTACTGGGGCGCCGCGTGCAGCCGGAACTCGTTGTAGGGCACCACCTCGGGCTGTTGGGCGACCACCAGCTGCACCTGAGGCCCGGCCGCGCCGCCCTCCCCGCCGGCGGCGCTCACCACCTGGTACTGGGCCGCCGCCGGGCCACCGCTGGCCTCCGGGCTCAGCAGCACGTGCTCTAGGTTCAGCAGGGTCAGCCGCGACAGGGGCCGCAGCGCGTCCGGGCTGAGCGCGATGCGCGCGCTGGCCGGCTGCGCGGGCTCCAGCAGGCCGCGGTGACGGCCGGCGCGCGCCAACATGGACGCAAAGTCGTTGCCATGGAGACCGGCGGCGGCGGCGTGGTCGTGGCTGTAGTCGTCGTGCGCGTGGAAGCCTTGGATCTCGAGTCCCTCGAGCTGAGTGAGCGCTGAGAAGTGCTCGGCACGGATGTAGGTGGCCGGGAGGTCGGGCGCCTGCAGCAGTGACAGGAACTGCCGGCGGACGGGCCGGGGTCAGTGTCCGGCGCTGGTACGCCGCGCTGGGGAGGGGGCACTACTGGTGCCCGATGAAGCTCAACACGGTGACAGATGATAGAAAAGTATATATCGTGTGTTTTGTTTTCCATTCCATTCCTCAGGTGCATTTGTAATATCGACGGCGCAAAGCCGTACACTGAATTATGATTTTCTCGCTAGATGGCACTGCTAGTGGTCGCCTGCAGGTATGCTGTGCCGCACGGTCCGGACCGGCGGCAGCGCCGGCAAATAGTTGTGACTTTACCAATGGATGGCAGCAGTGCTACGCACGGGAAGCAGTACTGTTTTGCAAGACGGATAGGCGGAAACGGAAAACTTTGTAAAGATTAAACTGAATAACTCTCATAGGCCAACACAAATCATACCGATCCAAAGAACATTCCAAATAGGCAAATGCCAGTTTCGGGCACAATATTGCGATGACTGCTGCTACAATTTGTTTTGGGTTCCCTCAGAATACCGACCAGCCTATCGTTGACGAAGTTCCAGCATGCCTTCGACCATTTCAATTGCCTCATATTGTCTTAGGTAATTAACATTAACCGGCATCCCGTCTGCGATGTGGAGCTGAATCCAACTAGTCACTGTATTGTGGTGAGAGGAAGTGAGCCATTTGGGCTCATCCTCTGTAACCCTGTGCAGGGCGGGCGGCCCTCACACCGGGTGTGTCACCGACCTTAGTGTCGGCCGGCAGCTGCTGCAGCAGGGCGGCCGTGTCCGTGTCAAACTGCAGCGCGCAGACCACAGAGACCACCAGGTCCGCGGTCTGTGCGGGCTGTCCGTCCGTGCCGGCCGCCGCCGAGCTGCCGTTCAGGGTCTGCGACACAGCAGGAGTAGCGGGTCAGTGGGCTCTGGGAGTGTGGAGGCGCGGAGCGAAACACAGCCGGTCAGCGGGCTATGGGCGCATGGAGACAGAGAGGAGTCGGTAGATACGAGATCGATACGTCAAACGAATGGCTTAAATGAAATAAATCACTTTTAGCATGGTGTTCTGAACTGGAATAACAGTTTTGTAGCTTGAACTGAGACCAACAAATCAGAAGCTGTTACGCCACAGCGATCACCCTAGGCAAAGATACTCCATTTCTCGTTCCGAAAAGATTGCCTTGTAGAGGAATGTGTCCCTTGTAAAAGAATGCAGCCACCTCATGGTCAGCCAATCAGCATGCAGCTGGTTTTTGAACTACACAATATGGTTGGCCAACGCGTAATAAGCTTTCGCGGCAAACACTTCTTTATAAAGCATGTCGTTTTTCCCTTATGAAAATAATTAAAACAGATCCTTTGGTAAATATTAGTTATTTTCTTTTCTGATCATTTCAACCTGCGCTCATGACAGCGGCGGCAAGTTGTGGATTGTATCGAACTGACCTCCCGCTGGTGGTAGTACTGCCAGTGGTGCTCAGAGTCGTGGTCTCGGTCGCCCGTCTCGGAGAAGCGCACCAGCGGCACCAGGCTGCGCTCGGTCAGGTGGCACGTGCAGACGGCCGGGCACGAGCCGCCGGGGGACGCCGTCTGACTCTCATCTGGCTCACTCTGTCAGTCACAGGGCGCGGGTGGACGGTGGAAACTCACTAACTGTTCACACTAACTGTTAACTGTAACTGTTATCACACGGCGGCAGGTCAACAGCGGAGAATGAACATCAACGGGATCTCTGCATATTAGAGAAGAGCAGCTATCTTTATTTGGCCTGTGTTGGTATTTTAAAAAAGCTGATTAAATTGTTAAAAGGAAGATGGTGCGGTGGCACCCTCCAGCTTACCGATGCAGCACCGCTGAGCGTCAGAAGCAGGCAGAGGGCGGCGATGGCGGCGGTGGGGGTGGCGCGGGCCATGGCGCTGCCGTGCGGTCCCGGTGGCGGGCGGCTCCGCTCTGCGGCCCGACCCCCGCCGCAGGATGGACTCGGCGCCGACACTCCGGATGTCGCGTCCCTCCCCTGCCTCCCTCCTCTCCCCGCCCCACACAGTATCGGCCGCTGTGCAGCTTTGGGCGGATATACCTCGACTGGGCCCCCATTCTCGAGCTTGGCAGGGGAGGTAATTCGATAACTGACCCAGTGATGCGTCAGTGTGACTATGCGGACTTACCCCGTGAGGACCAGGAAACTGGTCCGCTATTCGGACGCTCCTTCCTTTGGAATTCCCGACTTCTTTCCGGTCGGATCTTCCCCCACCAGAGTCCGATAGTGGTCTTAGATCAGTTTCATTCAATCTGCAACCTGTTGACCAAGGGGCTTCAATTTAGTCTCTAGGCTCTCTCCCTCAATGATTCATTTTGTCAACTGTTTGCACAATCTACAATTACGCTCTAGGCTCTTTTCGATCATGTAGAAAAACACGGAACAAATAGTGCATGGACGCGTTTCGATTATTAAATCTTCATCAGCATGACATAATCACAGAGAAAACAGCCGTGATCACGTTTCTCTGTGACTATGTCATGCTGATGAAGATTTAATTGCCCGTATCTTTTCGATCATGTTACTTTATTTGGAAGCCACTCGTTCTCAGTATCCTTCCGCGGGTGCACCGGGTCCTGTGCTATCTCCGTGCGTCGACCCCTGCTGGGTTCTCGGAGTTGGTTCGTTTTGCCGCTCCTGTCCAGGTTCGCTGGGTCTTCGTGTACGTGCGCACAGCTGCGCCGGCCGCGCTGGGCTGCAGCCCGACGCCGCTGGCCTCCTATCTGTCCCGCTTCCTTCCTGGTCGGCCGGCGCACAGTGTGGCCAAACACCAGTTAAGCGCGAATTTAATCCCAGCGCTGCTCAGATCCGTTGAAAATAGTCCCCTGGTTTCAAAATTGACACTTAAACCTATGTGAGACCTTTTACGATGCATTGTAAATGCTTGCTGACATATTATTACGGAGCGAGCGAAGCGAGCGTAGTCTTTCCTAAGATTAACGGAAATTTCTGAGTATGAGCGGCCGGCCGGCCGGCCGTGCGGACGCTTTTGCGAGGCTTATATCTCAGCAACCACTTGACCGATTTACACGCGGTAATTTTTGTAGGGTAGCTTCATTCCTTCTACCAAGTATTGGACTATTCCCGATCAGCGATGCCATTCCTTGGGATTTGTCCCAAGATCTTGGGATTTGAACATTAACATTGGGATCTTGTGATTTGCACTGCATATCTTGGGATCTGGCAGAAGCTGATTTCACTTTGTCTTCTAATGCTGTCGAATGCTTTTTCCTCGGTCGATAATAGATTTAGGATGGATTTGCACTACGGACGGTTAAAGGTAGTGTGCCACCTTTGAAAGATTTCCCATTTTATTTTTCCTAGGATAAGAAGCTTCTGTTTTTACCTAATATCGCAAAAAAAATCAAAAATGGGCCTGGAATAGTGCCTTTTTCGCCTAAAAGTTTATCGGTTTTTCGATATGTATAACAACTGTAGTGGGCTGACCTGTAAACAGGCGTCGGCAACAATCGCGAATGTGGCGCACATGTGACAATAAGCAAAGGTCATTATAGAGTTACGACGTACATACGGGAATGAGTTATCAGCTGTCTAATCGTAGACAACACAATGTCGAGCCTTAAACTGTAAGCCTGTATTGGTATTGTTTCTTTTATTTGGCTGTCGAACATTATTTATGGTTTGAAATATGATTTTATGTAAAATAATTGATATGAAAAAGCCGTCTCTTAAGTTATGACCCCATTTCACCACACGCAAGTGGCAGAAATGACAATGATCAGCTGACGCATTTTTCTTGGCCGAAGTCAGAGCGCGCGGCCCGACGCATCACCACCGCACCACAAAGTATGAGCAGAAGCCGCGCCCAAAGCCAGGGCCCCGGTAACGTGAGTTAGCCGAGTCGGGGCAGCGTGCGCTGACCCAAGCCGGGGCCGCAGCTTTGGGCGCGGTCTACCGCATCCCCGCGGGCAGCCCCGGGCTATCACATGACACCGGGAGGACGCGCGGCCCCGGCTTGGGTCAGCGCACGCTGCCCCGACTCGGCTATCTCACGTTACCGGGGCCCTGGCTTTGGGCACGGTCTACCGCACCACCTAACAGGCGTGTTCGAAACCGCAGGAGATGATGATGAACGGGTTTATCGAAACTTGATTGGATGAGCATATCGGTAATAGCGATTTCAGTGTGTGCATTTATTGTTCATAGTGGTGTGAAATGTGGTTGGGGTACGACCGACAACCCGTCGGGGCGAATTTCGCACTGGGGTACTCAAAATTTGAAGAATTTAAGACGTTTCCATGAGTTTTGAAGGTATGGATAAGTTCTAAAAATCCGGTTCTCCTTATCTGGGCCATTAACTCCATACGGTCCAGGAAAGCTGGCACACTACCTTTAATCAAACATATTGAAGTAACGGACGAAGCTTGCGATGTTTCTAGCCGGCATTATCTTCCCGAGATCGCAGGATTATTTTTGTACCATTACTTGTTATGGGTATAGTAGCAGCTTTCAGTCGCTGTTCGCAACTAGCGCTCAGTTGTTTAATTTCCAGCTACCGATCAACGGGGATGGGTGGTTTGGCGGCATGATGGACGACGGTGAAAACAGGGCGCCTGGGGCGATTTGATCAAGGTTCGTGAAATTTACACGTGACGTTTAGCATGTAGATTGTAGAAGGCACACGAAGGGGGAGAAGCTACAAATGTCACGAGACTAATATGCCCTCCGACGCCCTGTTTCACCGGCGTCCATGATGTTGGGTGGCTATGAAAAGCTTTTACAAACATTATGCCTAAAAAACATTTCAGAAAGCGGCTACCGCACAAAGCGTTTCATTTTACGGTTTTGCTCTATGGAGGCTTATCCGTTGACCGCGAACCAAAATAAGGGCAATTTGTCTTTGACCTCGGAAAAGTGTCTGGTCACCTGACCTCTGGGCTCTGCTGGACCAAAAATAATCAAAGCGTAACATTGCGACCTTCACAACACTGCTGACGTCTTGTAACTATATAGTCCAGGGGACGAGTTAGGTCCTCGTTTAGACCCCCTCGCCATCGCCGGCTTGAAAATTCATGGGCCCCAGCGGGCACTGGCTTACGCGCAGATTCACAGCATAGGCTTTTCGATTTCAGGATTCACATAAGCTTTTAAGAGCTTGTTTTGGAGCCCATATTTCAAAACTCAGTGGTGGAAAACACTTAAAATCAGCCTGACCTCACCTGACCCTAGCTTCTCCAAATGTGTCACGAGACAAATTTTGAAATAAATCCAAAATGCCACAGACTTCGTTTCCAAGAAGTTCTAACAGATTCGGACTATGTGTTTTAAGTCCTTGACCCACCATTGACGGTCGACGAATGACCTGACCATAATATCAGATACCACCGGCTTCATGTTGTCTAGGCCAGCATCTTCATTTTTCGTGAAGCTCTTATACTCGGTCAGGAACCGATCAGCTGTAGGAGTCCGATCGACCCCCTCCCCCTCCCCTCCCCCCGGCCTCTAGGTACATAAGCTGCTGTAAATACGCCAATAAGGACAAGGGTGGACCCGAAGAAGAGAAAGTTGAATACTAAACACACTAATATGTCCAAAATAAGCTATGGATTTACTTGGGGTACTCCTAAGGATATTCGATGGGTAGTCTTGGGATTTGAGACGAGAATCTTGGGAAATTCTGGTCGAGATCTTGGGATGGAGCAAAAATGTGGATGGCATCACTGTTCCCGATGCATGTGGGTGACCCCTTATGCACGTGCCACGTGCAAAACGAAGAGGTGTCAGTTTTGTAATTGTTGCAATATATCGGTAACTGCTTGGCCGATTGCGCTGAAAGTTGGCATGTAGGTAGGCACTCACTAGGCACTGCATATCCATGTGCCAGAGTTGGGGTGCTGCTGCACGTGCGCACGTGCAGGGGTCGTTTCCAGATCTCGAGAACGGCTGGACCGATGGCGCTCAAATTTGGTACACGGTTAGGGACCAGTTAGTAGGGTGCCGTGCACAAGTCAGTTGGGACCCATTTTGCACGTGCGCACGTGCAGGGTGCCGCTCCCAGATCTCGAGAACGGCTGGGCCGATCGTGCTCAAATTTGGCACATCGCTAGAAACCTGTCAGTAGGGTGCCGTGCACAAGTCAGTTGGAGGTACCCCCTCGAAATTTCGCATGTGCAAGACTCACCCCCTCGCTCGCTCCGTTAGTCGCCCCAAAAGGCGCTATACTGGTGGCATAGTTCCGCCTCTAAAAGTAAGGAGAACTAGCTTACGACGGGTGATGTGCTTACCAGGGCTGTGAAGTCGATGGAGTTACTCGGACTCCGACTACGGCTTTCAAAAGTCAATTTCAACTCTGACTCCGGGCAAAATTGTTGACTTATACGATCAACTCGGACTCTGACTCCGCAGCCATGGCAAGTCCACGCAGTCGATGGATTTTCGGTGACTCAGACTACGAGTCTTGGTCCGGATTCCAAAATCGATTATGATTCCGATTCTGACTGGGGTCAGAACTCAGAACGACTCCGACTCCGGGTTGACTCCGAACGACTCCGACTCTGATTACGAAATCCTGGAATTTAACCGCAAATAAGAGGCATAAAATTGTGGGTCCCAGCAATGATGGGCATGTTAGGAGGAGGAAGCGTTTACGAAATTCCCATCAATTCTCTGGTAAATTCTTATGATTGTCCAAAGTTTGCTTGAAAAAATCAACATCTAATTATGTTTCTGTGTGAATGTTCCTGGTGAAGCACATAAATCGGTAGACAGTTGCAGAAATACACGCACCGATAGGACCGAACCTCAGCAATGGGAGTAAAAACAAAGACTTACACCATAAGCATCTTCATGTCATTAACACTCGCCCGTATTGGTGTTTTGCTAGCCGCGAACGTAGGTCGGGTCAGGTCAGGTCAGGCCAACCAGTAGGCGTCCTGCCGGGTATTCATAACTAATAGGTGTCAACCGCCAGTGACA